CTTCTGTAAATTAAGGGTTCAGCAGTTCTCAAATTCACGACTTAATACGACATACCGTACAGCTGTCTCATATTTCAGGTTGACTGTGGGTGGAAAAAGTAGTCCCCAGACACCATGTGCACAACGATGTTGATATCGAAATCAACGCATAGCTTTGGTAGCCCGTGGAAGTAGGCCTTGACGATCACGGAAAAGCACGAACATGTTTGTTTCACAACCAAGAGTAGATGACCCGGAAATTTTAAAAGAAAACGACACGCCATAATTTAATATGGATTCATTTGTGAAGTGATTCATTAGTGAAGACAGTGAGCTTGAATTGAGAAACTACTTTTTGGATATCCTTTCGTCCCAGTGTGTTGACTCTCCACGTGGATTCACCCAAGGTGAGGATGCATCTGTTGGCAAATTTCACCGTCATTCTTTGGAACTTTTTCGTCCACTTCAGTGCCGCTGCAAGACAGCCTACTCCTCAGAGGACGTTGGTGGTTATCACAATACCAAACTAGTGATTGTCACGAAAGCTGTTGGACGTCCCTAGTGATGGCACCAGTTCAACCATTATTTGGTCATTAATGGACTTGCTTCTCAAGCAGCAATGATTGTTTAGTTGATGCGTAATCTGATGCTAGACTGGAGCGCTGAACCGTCAACAAGTGAAGACCAAGTTCATGGGTGAAGTTCACACCAAAGAAAGATGGTGTGGATATCGGTCTCTCGTTGTGCCATACACTATTCACAGAAATGCTCATAGGATGTCAACCATTGGGGGGCGGATTGCACTTCCCTGTGCAATTCCGCACCCATATCTTGTAATTTGTATTGGGGAAATGCTTCCACCTCATCCCGTCAGATAACGTGTAATTTCCAACTAGTGTCCTCGGGACACTCCAATTTAGGTTCAACCTGCTCCGTTCGATCGTTCTAACCCACCTTTCAGCGGTTTTTAATATGCTATACGGCCAAAATTTCTCATGCAAAGTGAACTCTTTGTACTAGTGAAAGGAAGAAAACCTTCGCTACTGAGTTATTTATTAGAAAATGCCAACTGAACAGTTACAGACTATTGGACAGGGAAGCAAAACTCTCATATGCATCTTGTTTACAAAAACTGAATATCCATCTTTCCCTTGAACGCGTCTTCCTGAACTTTCCTGAATACCCATTGACTGTTGCTCAAATCCAAGCAAATGCTACAAAGCGACTCCACAAATTCCGATATAGATCTCACTTTTCAAGAGACGCAAAGCGGATTTACGGGAAAACATACTACTCGTATGCCTCCCTTCACCAGTAGTATCACCGTTACACTAGTACTTACTAGGATGACAGTTGTGCTCCCAGATCCTCCGGACAACGGTACGATGTGAGCCGGGATTTACAGAAACCCTACTACTGACTCTGAGTATGAAGTAGTTCCATACAGCTAGCAAGGGTAGACAGCGTGGTAGCCGAATTCCTTAAAAGAGAACATCTGATGTGACTCAAAACCAACTTATATAGCTCAACAGCGGAACTCTGTTTCTCTAAATCTGGGCTTGGTGTGCAGCATTGGTCGATGGATCGGTGTACACGGTTCATGTGCTGAAGAATGCGGGTGGCTGCATTTTACATTTCCTTGGGTTGGCGTCTTACCATTCATACAACTTTAAATGGAAACAGAGAGTAGAACAAGAAGCCACGTAGTAACCCGAGTTGGAAACGTCGATGGATGTACCGACATGCCAGGAGTATGCCCTGGTAGCTGTCACTTTAGAGTACATGTGGATACAGCCTGCGTGCCTCTCTTGGTCATCATTATACATGATGTAATATGCGAACGTTCCAAAACGTGGAAGCGACTAAGATAGTGTAGATCTAGTGTGAAAAATCCAGCTTTCCCGACCCATAAAAGCCTGGGAAGTACCTGGACTGTAGTACATCAGCCCACAGAGCCGTTCACATACAACCACTCATTTACTTGTCCAACCGAATCGGCAAGTTAGCAGCCCCCAGCTCCCATGGTCAGTCAGCATCGTGGTGTACGTGTAGCTGAAACTGTTTGTGTCTTCATACCAATGACTTCTCCCCACTCAAGATAAGTCGTGCACCCTAGCTTGACCCATACTACCCTGACAACCTGTTAGCTTCTTTCGTATCATTGTTTTTCTGTTCTAGAAATGACGGAAGAGGAGATCTTAGAAGCTGAATTGGCTCGAGAGGTTGACGAAATGGTACTCATCTCGTCGAAACCTGGGGAACCGGACGAACTGGATCGGGAGCTGGAAATGGAACTTTTAGCTGAATTGGGCCAGGAGAATTCTTCATGATTTCTATTAACCCAAATTGGTCTTCATTATCTTGTTATTTCTTTTTACCTACATACCGTATTACTGTGTGTCTTCTTCATTAAGCCCACCGAACAAACTACCTAAGACTCGAAGATGTGATATGTTGTGCGTTAACTTTCCCGTCTCCATCACCATCAGTTGTTTGATCGAAAGTTAATATAACGTTGTGCTACTCATTACAACTCAAGTAGCGGAATTGTAGTGAATCTGTATGGGGAACCCTGGTTGTTCGGCCTTCATTTGGAGTCTAATCTGGTCTCTTATTTGGGGGATTCTTTTTTGCATGGGAAATCCAATTGGGTCGTAAGCTATTTGGTGTGAACTATACAAAGATGGCAGTGTGCAAATACGGTCAATCAAGGAATTTGTTCCAGTTGGAAATGTTTATATCTTTTTCGTGGCCAATCAAAGGGTCATACCGCGTGACGACTACTCATCAAGTACGGTTTGCCGTACGAGAGCTTAAGAAGTCTTCAAAAGCCTTCGAATGGTAAAACTTCTTGAAGAAAACTTAAGGCCGAAAAATCGGGGTAGCAACGTGATCTGTGTGGCTTAAAGTGCCTTCATGCACGTCTTTTTTCCAGACGGTGGTCGTGAACGCGTAGATGGATCCATAGGTTAGGTGTAAATTGTCACCATCACAGATGTTAGTGCCGGCTTTTGGATTGATGCCTTGCTTGTAGTCGGTGAGGAGCAGGCTTGCATGATGCCACGGTGTTCATCCCTAGATAGCGGTACTGCTTGGGTCTTCAACCAAGGAATTTGACCCAAAGGCCTGGTTATAAGGTGTCGGATGGCCGCCAGAATGATTCTCTGATGAAACAAGTTACCGGACTTATTCCAGTCTCAAGTCAACGAACGGTGTTCATCAGACCTGCATCTTATCTGTGACAAACACCAACTTATCCTCATCATCAGAGACAGCAACATCACTGTTGACAATGATGCTTCACTGCTGTCGAACCACAAAGTTCATCGAGTATAATGAAAAACTTGGATTGGGAAAAAGTGAGTGAGGGAAGGGTCCTAGTACTAACCTACCGGAAGCATTTTGAAGTGCCTACACCCCCAAGCGTTCAGTCAGACAATCTGGAGAGAAGCTAACAACACCAACGCCGGTGACATCATTCAGCCGGCATTTCTTGCATACTCTCCAGCCAAGCGCAGGAGGTGTCA